ATGGACAAATAATTCTTAAGCCATTAGAAATCCTGTTTCGCATACAATAATAGTAATAATACTCATTTCGATCCAATGTAATCGGTTTTCGGAACGGACCCGTAGTGACCGTCTATGTTACAAAAGGCAAAAACTTGTGTTATTGCAAGTATAAATAATAAACAAGACATGCTGCCATACAACTAATGTTTTAATTTTTCTTGATACACTGAATTTATATTTAGTAACGTCTACACTAGTTATCTCCGATATTTTAATTTTCTATAGGCAAAATTCTTGAGCTACCTCTACGAAAGACAACGATATTAAAAAATTCTCACGTATTCATGTTGATTGTTTAGCATACCTATCAATCTTTTGGAATAACGTGACCAGTAGCATGCAGAAAATTTATTTCTAGAACAAGTTTGTTTCTGTTCGAAGTATATATGATAAACCTTACGAAATTTATGTCAAAATTTGCTAGATTACTACAGCATTTGAAAATTTTACAAACAGAATGCCAAATTTGAGGTCAAAGCAAAGATAGGGTACACTTCACCTAATGTTTATTCTATAAAATCAACAAAATTAGTACACGGTATATGCAGTATATCAGCATCTGCTGATATTTGTTGCTAACTGTGGTAATTCAAATGTACTTTAGTAAAACTAGTAGGTACTTACAGTACTTTAACTTTGACAGCCATATACGTATCATCCTAAAAACATTGCCCTTGAAATAACTGACTTTCGAAACTGGATTGTTCAAGTGATAATTATAATTTTAAAAACTTTAAATCAATAGAGTAAGAGGGTGAGGTCCACGACAAATTTCTGGAATCAAATGAGTGCCTTTCTTGTTCTACATTGTCCCAAAAATCCAAAATATAGCAAAGTGTACCCTTTATAAGCAAAAAATTACGTAAAAAATAATTTAAATTATCCAACATTTTTGAGTGTATTAAACAGCTGTTAAGCTGTAGGTTCTTACTACCGTATTAGTCGAACCCATTCACACATGTGAATTAGAGTACCGCCATATCGGAAATAATTTAACTTAATGACGACGATGCTCACAAGGTAAATGTTGTTGTGTCTGAGTGTTGGCGTTGCTATGGATTTTATTTCTATTGCAAATTACTATCGGCGACTGTAACAATTAACCCTTACGAATATGCCGTGGTGACAATTTTTAAACATTAACACTCAACAGTCGACTTCTCTAATAAATGATAAAGAAAAAGAACATTTTTATTTTAATTCTGACTCACTCACGACCAGTGGCAGACGACGTCCTCCATACGCAAAATGAGTACACAAACACTCTTACGTATCTACAATAAATTGTAAGTACATGTACGATCCTATCTACGAAACGGAGATAGATACATATAAACATGCAGGATACACAAAAAACGGTCACGCACAAAGAACGTGATCGCGAATTAAATAATAAGCCGGCAGGAGTGACAATTAAATGCCTATTTGAAATTCACCACGGTCACAATTATTACTGTATTTACTTGGTATAGATATAGGTATTATAGTTGTAATATAAGAGGCAGTATTCAACGATACAGGCGCTTTTGCGGGGAAATGTACTTACAAATAAACAAAACTTAATATAACTCTCCACTCCACGTGCCAACTCGAAATATCTATTTATGAACAGTATTTATGCACGCTGGAACAATATAGAATAAGGTTAAAGAACAACTATTTTACAAATAAATTGGTATTTTCTTGATAGCATAGTACATTAATAAGTAAAAAATAGTAATAGGTCACTAGTGAGAAAATTAGTTCACTTTTATTGCTAACGGAAGCATGATAATGATTAATCTTTACATGTTATGGATATTAATATGCCCCAACTGAAAGAAGATAATTCGACTCCTAATGGGGTGTAACGCATTTTTGTGACCTTTTTTTAAAATCTCTTGACCAACATAGATATATAAATAAATACCCAAAGTTTTCGAGTATTTTTCAAAATTACAATCCCTATATAGATTTACGGTTCAAGGTTTGTATCAAAATAAAAAATTGGTACGCTACTAGAACCCACTGCATGTACCAATTTTACCAAATGAAGTATCATATCAATTTCTTACATTAGACTGAAAAACGATGGTTACGTCTTTTTAGCTCATGAGACATTAATTATTTTAGTTACATTTATTGAACTTACCATTGACTTTATGTGTTGCAAATATGCTGGTCTTTCTTTAGGGAATTGATGTAATTGTAATGTACATCCCTCCATCAACATCTGCTTAAGTGTTTGAGACTTGAGAGAAACATGGTTTACATTGGATATTATTTATGATTTAATATATAAGGCTGAATGGCTCATTGATGAAACTGACATCATGGAAGAGTTCCAGAAATTTCTACTAGTTTTTTATTAATTGTAAAGGCATGGATGCAGACATAAAAATGAGAAATAAAATAGAAAAGTGAGAATGAAACAAAATATGAAAGAGGAACAAGAACAAACAAGGGTGACAGAAAGAAAAGAAGTAAGAATTAAAATCAGTGAAAGATAACATGAAAATGAGACAAAAAAAATAAAAACTGCTCCGAAAGTAATAACTAAGTAAACAGAGGAAAAGAAGAATGACATTAGAAACGAGTAGAACAAAAGAAGATAGAAGAGAGGAAAGTCCAAATGAAAAAGAGAATTGAAGAGGCAAAAGCAAACGCATGGTCCAGTTCCGAAAGAGAACAGCACTCATAATTTCTTTACGAGGAGAAGTAATGAGTCTCGTTGTCAATTTGAGTACAATGTGGAGCGCCTCGTAAGATTGGCCTGTCCTACTGATCCTCAAGAGTTCATAGGCCAACTAGCAGATGAAGTAGGGACGCCGATTTGCTATCAAGAATTGTCATTTCTAGTCTGCACGGAACTAACTAAACTACGAGAAATTTCACTGCAATTCAAGAATGCAACGTAGGAATTAGAACTGGAAATGCAATCTTATAAAGTTTGGAATTGGTGGCTGACATAGAAGATAATGTCATCGCTGGACTGGACTTTCTCCGAGAACATGGAATCACACTTCCACATTGCGAATCGGTAAAATAAGATATAGTAATGTCAGATCAAATCAGAAGCCGCCAGTAAGGTGGTCGTAGAGGAAAGTCGAGTATTACTATTTTACGGAGTCACTCCAAAAGTCAAGATATTGCTTGATGGGGAACCCGAAAATCCAGACGCTCATTAAAACTAGAGAATCATCGATGCTTGCCAGAATACCAAATTTGAACGATTTCGAGCAAATGATCTGTAAAAGCATGGAGTTAGAAGTACTTTTTTGAACCCCAAAACCAGGAGAAGGAATAGTTTCCGCACCCAACAAACATACACATATACACATGTAGGGTAAATCGAGTACCCAGATTCGACGGAAAAATAAAAAAAAATAGAAATTCTTACAGGAATCCCGTTTAGTTAAGTGCGTTCTCTTGGGGCAAGGGCAACTTCCCCTACCTACATATATTTACATTTACCTTACGATCAGTTCTTTTAAAAATTAAATTACTTAAGTATACCTACATTGTGCGATATTACTCTTGAATTCAGTTTCGTTTTTTATAGGAATCCAATCAAATAATAAACTGCTGTCTTCTTATTTCTTAACATTATGACCCTTATTTTTAATATATTGTTACATACATATATGGAAATTAAGTTTCTAATATGTACATTGTCTTTTGTTTGCTGATAAAAAATTATCTTTTTTATCAACGTCCTGCTCAAGTTACTAATCTGTACATCTACACATACATATATTTATATATAAAATTGAAGTGTCCGTCTTTAATATAAAATAACTGCCTTCACTTTAGTTCACATGGTTTTTTAAATGCTATTAAGATACAAGACCCTTAAAAAGTTTTTTATCTGAACAGGTTTATCTTCGAATCGGCTAAATAGCCGACTTCGATTAAACTTTCCACACATGAATAGTGGCATGCTGTCAAGAGTGATCTAGGCTACCTTTTTAGATTGTTTATTGGTTATAATAAATGTATTTGTTATAAATAATTGCGAGATATTTCAGTTAGTTTTGATTAAATTATCTACTAAGCGTAATAGTATAATAAAACCATTACTTTTCCGTGTTTTACCACCAAAAAAATAAAATTTAAGTAACTTATTGGTCTATGCTACTGTACTGGTAAGGCAAAATGTTCACTGAACATAGAAATTACGCATTTCTTTGTTAGCATGATTGGTGATCATGTGAAATCTATTTGTCAATCATCTCTACCCGAAAACATCATCCGGTTCTCTGAAAACTGTCCTAAACTAACAGAACTCTGAAAATCTTTCGAGTAACACGTAACATCTCTCAAAAGTTGCATTTATTTAAGAAACATTACTTTAATATTTGTATGAAAAGATACCTGAAGATATTTTTACATGAATGCTCCATAGCGCCCTTTGATGATCGCATGTAATAATAAAATATCCTTATGTTCAGTTTTTAACTCGCTACTACTGTATAGGTATGAAAATATTAATATACGCGGTTATTCAAAGATTATGTTTATTCTTAAAGATGATAAAACAACCTTGGAATATAAGTTCTGGGTTCTTCTTTCAACTGGGTAATCAAATAAGAAATATTTTACAAAACTGTTTAAAGCATTTTTTCCATGTCACCGGTATTTTCCAGTTTATCATAAAAATTAAAGATAATTTAAATTGTTCAAATTTTATCGTAATACAAGGTCAGTAAGCAGGTTCAATAGAATTACAACCTGCTTCCGACTTTTTACATTGCACAAATAGTAGGTACTTGGAGCTTATTTACCCGTAAATAAATTCGAATGAATCTCAATTATGCATGATTTGGAAATTATTTTTCAGTTACCATTTATTATCCACATGTTCAAAAAATTTCATTATGTCAGTTGGTTGAAAACTGTTTTGATAGTGGTTGGAAATACCTATTCCGGAATAAATTGAAAGAGCAGCGATCTTAAAGACAAAATTACTACAAACTTACATCGTTCTGTATGTGACCCATGGTGGTTCCTTCATGTACTGGTCCGAGGCTTTGTTTTGCAATAGGAATTTTGTCAGCTTCTATATTACTTTGAAAAATGAAAACGAACTAACTACTTAACGACAAAATGAAGACGTGTCTGAATTTCACAGTTGCGTTAGCCAAAACGACCACTGATTTATAATCACGAACACAAAAGAAATAGTTCAGTAAGTCGTTTATTAAAATATTTCTTGAGTTTATCTAATTCACCTTAAGAATAACGGTAACGAGTGTCATTACTACACCGCTTCATCGAGCGCGAACCTACATCTACCGCCAGCCAACGATCACTGACTCATAATAGAGAACATGTTTACACTGCGACCGGTTTTCGAATTAGAAGAGGAAAAGTGGGGACAAAATGAGCCTACTTTATTGGTTCAACATGATATGGTAAGGGTTATATCAGCTGATTTAGCGCTTGGCAACAATGAACATATTAATCTTACCCTTAAAATAAAAAAAGCTAGGCTATCAAGAACCACATGCATATTCATACATATACCTATGTCCAAAATTACGAAATTTTTATACACATTATGTTCATCTATATGTAGGTACTTACCACATAACTTTTTGAAAAATAGGTAAATACAAAGTATACTTCCTACTTGTACATACAGTTCGTGACTTTTATAGAGCCATAAAGCCTTTGCAACTACAAATTATTCAAAATTGCTCGCAGTTCAACGGCAAAATAAAGATTTAGAAATTAATTTATATAATTGATCGTGAAACTGGACACCTACATAATTTATATGACAACATTAAAAAAAACCATCGCACCCATCGGTGCAATAGTTACAAAGGCAGCAGCTCTGAGTGAACAGTGATAGGGGACGTGATTTACTTTTGGATAAGTTAGGTTAGGTTAGTTTAAGTTATCTTAGATTAGGTTATATTATGTTAGGGTTAAATTTCCTTAAGTCTTATGAGTCAAAGGAAAAGGCGTAAGTCATATCTTTAGAACATTTCAGATTATTCACATCGGATCTTCGCCAGTTCCTGCTCTTGACCTAAACTGTTCAAATATCTCACTAAAGTGGCGCCATCTAATGATTATGATATCGAAGGTCCACCGTTAGAAAAACTGATTTGTAGAAAAAAGTTTCTCGTTTTATCCAAACCTTAATATACGTAGACGAACTTGACATTATCCTCTATCTTATTACGAAAGAGAACTCATCCGAAAAATTATATCGGACTTGGAAAGCGACATTACAAAACCCGCTGTTTTGGGATATGCAAACTTGATAATATACACATGTATATAGTTGTCAAAAAAAACACAAGAGACATATGTCGATTAACTTAAACTTAACACTATTAGGGAAAAATATCATTATTTCTTATCCCGAAATGATTTAGGGCATGGATGGTGAACCAATGGCACGCGACACAATATTTTAAGCACGTCACTAATATCATACATCGAAGACGCGATCAACATCATTAAAGACAGTAAAACTGTAAGGATGGAGGTACAAGGACAAAAGATTAGTATGCTTAGATTTGCAGATGATATAGCAGTATTAGCATCTAGCAAGNAAGATAATAATGTCAAATCAGAGACTTGCCGTCTGTAAGGTGGTCGTAGAGGCAAGTCAAGTATTACTATACTACGGAGTCACTCCAAGAGCATAGTAAGAGTCAGATTAGACGATGGTACCGGCGGATTGACGAGGAATCAGACGTAAGACATACGCTCTAAAGACAGTAAAACTGTAAGGATGGAGGTACAAGGACAAAAGATTAGTATGCTTAGATTTGCAGATGATATAGCAGTATTAGCATCTAGCAAGGAGGACTTAGAGATAGCTTTAAATAAAACGGAAGCGGTACTTACAGATCCGTACTGTATGAAAATAAATAAAAGTAACTAAAATACTGGTATGCAAGGGAAGATGCTGATTTTAGATATCTAGGAAGTCAGGATGGAAGGAGTAGTAGGGATATAAAGCAGAGAATAGCGCAGGGTCGTGTCGCCTTTAATAAAAAGAAGTCACTTCTATGCCCGCGAACGGTTAATTTAGAAATTCGAAAAAGGTTGTTAAAG